GAATTTGGGGACGTGGGAATTTGGGGACGTGGGAAATTAGAAAAAGTAGCAATTTGGGGTTGTAAGGACTTGGCAACGTATGAATATGAGCACGCAGCGATATGGGGACACCTGATTGTTGATGTTTCTTTGTTAATAACTCAAGAACGGAGCTTCAGATCCAATTTTTGTAAAGGGAAAAGTTGTTCAGAATCGCGAACCCAATGGAGTTATGATGTTAGGGGCACTGTTTGTGAGACACCCTGTTTACCCTTTCTGAAGGGGTAGGGACGTAGGGACAGGGGGACGTAGTTATCTGAACATAGTGGACCTGAAGACATATCACTCAGCCAATGTAGAGATTTGAGGGTGTACAGACTCCCGAGACGTTAGGGCTCCCTAGATATAGAAACCCTCACATTTGTTATAAACAAATCTCGTCACAAATACCTCGAAAACCTTTCTTTAAAAAATGGAGCCAAAAGCTTGATCACACATTTTCAACTGATCCTCCCAATAATATCATAACCTCATCTTGTACCTATAACCTTACCCTGTATCTATAGCCCCACCTTGTACCCCAAGTCTCGTAAACCCTGAATTCATTTTTGTATATCTATTCTAAGAAGAGGAAAGAGAAAAACACGCGGGAACAGAAAATAATTATGATCGCGTTCGGCAAGGCAAATTATTCGGCGTGCCGGTATAAGGGAGGAACAGCGATTATGAGCGCGTTCGCGGCGCGAATGTCGAACAAAAGAGGAGCAGACAGGTCCTAATGAGAGAAAACGCGGGAGAGAAGGAATAATGGGGCAGGAGAAGGAAGGAAGGGAAACGGAAATGGATAGGGCAGGGCGAGCGGAGACGCAGACGGGCGTCGGCCGACCGGGTCGAAAAGGGTTTTAGCGGGTTGAGGAGGCGGCGGCGAGAAGAGTTGGCGCATCAATGGGCCAGAGAAACTTTTCAACCGATCAACTGTGATCGAACAGACGCGTATTATTGAGCGAGCGACGCATTATCCGGTAATACGGCCGACTGCATCCGAGGTATTATTGGAAACTCGTTGCTCCTGCCTCGACGAAGCTCTATTTAATAGGATCCTGAACAAATCTCCCGGACAGAAGCCGCATTCAGAAATGAAATAATAATATGTAAGGAGTGATTGATGGAAGATTCTGCGTTCTCCATTACGATACCGGATGAATGCTGATGATATTAACTGCTGCTGCATTTTCTGGGAAATTGAATTTTAAAATAAATGTAAAGCACATTAATTCTGTGTAGCGATGAAAAGGTTGCGATATATAATTTTGTTGAGCTACATTTATTCGTTTACAGTTGTCTTGGCGGTGATGGCCATCTTGTTTGTTGGCGGCCATCTTGGTGTTGACGGCCATCTTGTTTGTCTACGTTCTGTGCGAGCGATCTCTTACGTTTCATGTAATTTTATATTCATTGGTATATGGTACAAAATGCGTACGGAGAGATTGGGAACTTATTATATTTTCAGTTTTGAAATTAAACAATTTTGAAATTTCGGAATTTTCGAATTCCTAAGTTCTCAAATTTTCAAGATTCCGACTCCCTAATTTCCGATTTCCTAAATTCCCGATTCTCTCAATTCCCGACTCTCGAAATTTCCAACTCCTTAAATCCCCCACTCCATAATTCCCCGACTCCTTAAATCCCCAACTTCCTAAATTCCCGACTCCCTAAATTCTCGACTCTCTAAATCTCCTCCCCCTAAATCCCCGTCTCCCTAAATTCCCGATTCCCTCAATTCCCGACTCTCTAAATTTCCAACTCCCTAAATCCCCAATTCTCTAAATCCCCCACTCCTTAAATCCCCAACTTCCTGAATTCCCGACTCCCTAAATTCTCGACCCCCTAAATACCCGTCTCCCTAAATCTCCGCCCCCTAAATCCCCGTCTCCCTAAATTTCCGATTCCCTCAATTCCCGCTCCCTAAATTCCGATTCCCTAAATCCCCGACTCCCTAAATTCTCGACAAAATTTCCAACTCCCTAAATCCCCAACTCTCTAAGTCCCCCACTCCATAATTCCCCGACTCCTTAAATCCCCAACTTCCTAAATTCCCGACTCCCTAAATTTTCGACCCCCTAAATCCCCGTCTCCCTAAATCCCCGCCCTCTAAATCCCCGGCCCCCTAAATCCCCATAAAATGAAATAAAAATAAAAATAGCCTAATAAAAACAAAACTAAAGTAACTCATAATTCCTAAAAAATTCCAAAAAGCCACTCAACAGCTAAAAACCGAAAAAATAAAGGAAAAAGAATTGCGGTAAGGCAGAAAAATGTCTGGCAAGCGTAAGAAGAGTAAAATGTTGAAGCACCTAAATGTCACAGAGTATTCACCATCGGTAAACGTTCGATACACAAAAGGTGAGTTGTAACACTTGCAAATAAAGGTAGGAAAGTTAAGACGGTAGAAACGGAATCGGATATAGAGGAGAAATGCAGGCAAAAGCGCGGAGAAACGAAGGCAAAAGGAAGAAAGCGAAGGGTGAACAACATTTCTTTTCGTTGGAAAATCGTTCGCCGAGAAACGAAGCTGTTTTAAGAAGGAACAGCCAACAGGGAATGTGACAAGTCGCTTCGATAGTACAAGCTTCCTGTTTCCTGTACCGGAAAGGAGAACACCCTGTTCTTTTCGCTCTTGTATTCACCCTTTCTGATCTTTATTTCCTCTTGAAACAAATAGACAACATCTTCACAAAATGGCACTGCAAAATATGTACGTTCTTTCAGGGGGTTGTTTTCTGAAATGCTTCTACATATTTTCAAAAAAATATCTTTTTAGCTACAAAAATATGTGGACAAATATTTTTCATATTCTTTAATCAAATTTTTATTTTTGTAATTTATTTATACTTTCTTTCTAAATCACATTTTTATTTTAAAATATATTTGTTTATAAAAAGTATAAATATTTTTCAAAAATTAAGATATGTCTGCAAAAATGATTTAGAAGGAAGCATAAGTATAAATAAATTTTAGAAATGAAAAAAAATTGTTTAAAAGAAGTGATTTGTTTTTTAGTAAAAATTGTTTGAATAATTTTGAAGTTAGTTTTTTAGAGGCACATATGGGTGATACTCTTGTAAGTTATTGTCAGGCATTATGTAAGGTCTGGCCAGATTCGGACGTAGATTTATGAATTCGAGGACAGCAGATCCGCGAGGAGACACAAATGGCTTAAGGGAAGTTTTGTCCCAGCGTAAGAAACCTATCGATCAATTACCACCACCACGAACGACAATTCTTTAAACCAATACAAGTTCTCCCTTATTTTGCCGAAGTAATATTAGCAGAGACAAAACTTTTCGCACCCTCGATGTTTCCTAACAAGTATTGGAAGAATGTTTCCACGAGGAAAATTGTTTCTTGGGGGTGTTACAGGAGACTTATGTTATATTGCCATAATGGGAAATTTTTGGTGAGTGGGATTGGGAGATTTAGGGTTTGGGTTTTAAGGATTTTGGTATTTTGGGATGGGAGGTTTAGGAATTTAATAATATCAAGTTTAGTTTTTGAATGTTCGAGGACCAGATTTTTAAGTTTTCAAGACTAAGTCGGGAAATTTTTAAATTCGTAAATTTTGAAATTATGGAATTTCTAGATTTCCAAATTACTAAATTTCTAAATTCTCAAATTTCTCTCTTCCTATATTGCAAATTCCAAAATCCCCAATTCCCACATTTTCTAAATCTCAAAATTCCCTCTTCCTATATTGCGAATTCCTAAGTCCCCACTTCCCACATCCTCTAAACCTCAAATTTTCCTCTTCCTATATTGCAAATTCCTAAATCCCCAATTCTCACATTTCCTAAATCTCAAATTTCCCTCTTCCTATATTGCAAATTCCAAAATCCCCAACTCCCACATTTCCTAAATCTCAAAATTCCCTCTTCCTATATTGCAAATTCCTAAGTCCCCACTTCCCACATCCTCTAAATCTCAAATTTCCCTCTTCCTATATTGCAAATTTCTAAATTCCCAATTCCCACATCCCCCAAGTCTCAAATTTCCCTGTTCCTATATTGCAAATTCCTAAGTCCCCACTTCCCACATCCTCTAAATCTCAAATTTCCCTCTTCCTATATTGCAAATTCCTAAATCCCCAATTCTCACATTTCCTAAATCTCAAATTTCCCTCTTCCTATATTGCAAATTCCTAAATCCCCAATTCCTATATCCTCAAAATCTCAAACTTTCCTCTTCCTATATTGTAAATTCTCACATCCCCGAAATCTCAAATTTCCCTCTTCCTATATTGCAAATTCCTAAATCTCCAATTCCTATATCCTCAAAATCTCAAACTTTCCTCTTCCTATATTGTAAATTCCTAAATCTCCAATTCCCACATCTCCAAATTCTCAAATTTTCCTCTTCCTATATTGTAAATTCCTAAATCCCCTAAATCTCACTCTTCCCTCTTCCTATATTGCAAATTCCTAAATTCCCAATTCTCACATCCCCAAATTCTGAAATTCCCCTATTTATAAACCCCCAAACTCGTACTTTAGTAGACTCTCGTTATATCGCCACAGTAGGAAATTTCTCATAACTCATGTTTAAAAATTTAATATCTAAATTTTTGAGATATTGTAATCTCAGTAATGCAAATTTAGGGATTCACAAATGAAATATATTTCACAAAACAAAATTTTTGAGTAAGAAAAAAAAACTTACCAGCGCTTGTGGCCAGAAGAAATATCACCAGCATCGTAGAGAACTTCATAGAAAACCTGAAAATAGAAGAAATTATTCACAATTTGTCCAAAAAAATTTTTATAAAATAAATAACTCCAATCTTATACATAATAAAATACATGTTATTATTACATAACAATAATATTATCACCGAAATTATTTTTATTGAATCTTTCAATTAAAAGTTTTCCCAGAAAGTTTAGTTTTGGTCCTAACAAGCTTATTTTGTCCCCGATTCTTCGGATGTTCCAGCACCGAAGGTAATCTGTGACATCAGTTGTTTTTGAAGTTTAAGACAACATCGAACTAACTATTCGTGTTAACCGGTTGTTGAGAATGAGCCGCAACCGGAATTAAGACAGAGTGGCTGGCAATTAGACATTTGAGAGATCGATGCTTCGAGAACATCGATTAGAAGCATTCGGTTCGCTACGATCCTCTGATAATTCAATTGATCGCCACAACCCTAGCCAACTTCAAAACTTAAAGTAACTAGTTGTTTAATAGTTTAACACGCGATTCAGCTTTCAGAGGCTGGGTAATTGGAATGCAAGATTAATTAATTCAGTTTTATTTAGGTTAGGTTAGGTTAAGTGATACTACGTGTATTAGTAATACTAAGGTTAGGTTAGATTAAGCTTTAATGATTCTAAGGTTAGGTTAGATCTTAGAAATACTACGGTTAGGATAGATTAAGCTATTGTAATACTAAGGTTAGGTTAGATTAAGCTTTAGTGATATTAAGGTTAGGTTAGATTAAGCTATTGTAATATTAAGGTTAGGTTAGATTAAGCTTTAGTGATACTAAGGTTAGGTTGGATTAAGCTTTTGTAATACTAAGGTTAGGTTAGATTAAGGTTTAGTGATACTGAAGTTAGGTTAGATTAAGCTATTGTAATATTAAGGTTAGGTTAGATTAAGCTTGAGTGATACTATGGTTAGGTTGGATTAAGCTTTAGTGATACTAAGGTTAGGTTAGATTAAGGTTTAGTGATACTGAAGTTAGGTTAGATTAAGCTATTGTAATATTAAGGTTAGGTTAGATTAAGCTTGAGTGATACTATGGTTAGGTTGGATTAAGCTTTAGTGATACTAAGGTTAGGTTACATTAAGCTTTAGTGATACCAAGGCTAGGTTAGATTAAGCTTTAGTAATACTGAAGTTAGGTTAGATTGAGCTTTTGTAGTACTAATGTTAAGTCCGGCTTTAGTGATACTGAAGTTAGGTTAAAGTAAGTTTTTGTAATAGAAGGTTAGTAATCTGAAGTTAAGTTAGGCTAGGTTGATTTAGTAATCTGAAGTTAGATTAGGTTAAACCTTAATAATACTAAGGTTAGGTTAGATTAAGCTCTCTCCCAAATCCCACAATCCCAAACAAACTACCATAAAACTACATAAATCCAGACGTTTTTGAACATTCATGATTCCGCGACAGGGGAAGAGCAGTCAGAGCGAAACGAATTGCCCCGTCCGCCACTCTGAATTCTGTATGTTTATGATTCTTTTCAGCGGTTCGGGCGTAGCTGGAAGATAGCCGGGCATAATTTAGTTGCAATTACACGGTTTTTCCTTGTTTACAGACGCTGGTTAGAAAACGTGTCACTACTTCCGCGTGGTACATGGCAAGTGCTCGTCCTCGTCGGAGCTTCTGCCCCAAGGGTGACCGAACAAAGAGAAAGTAGCTCAGACTCGGGCTTTTCACCGTGCCTCTGCTTTACTCCACTTTATTTAAAAAGAAAAGTGTTATGGTATTAGTTTAAAGTGTCGAAAGCACGTCGCCGTAACTTGCCAACTCCGAAAGATTCTTACCGAGATTCGAGCTGTACGACAGAGGTATTTGTTTTCTGGTAACAGAAGCTTCTTGGGGTGTTCATCAAATTTTTCAACTTTGCAAGTTTTGTGCTTGTGAGGGTTGATAAAGTGAGAAGTTATTGGATTCTGATAATTTTAAATTGGGATATTTCCATATTCATATCTTCCTGTATCCTTATATTTCTGTATCACTACTCCTTGTATTACTATATTCCTACATTTCCATATTTAAATATCCCTAGATTCCTACGACAACATATTTACATATTCCCGTATTCCTATATCACCACTCTCTATATCCCCACTCCCATATATCCCCACTCTCTATGTCCCCATTCCCTATATCCCCACTCTCTATGTCCCCACTCCGATATATCTCCACTCTCTACGTCCCCACTCCCTATATCCCCACTCCCATATATCCCCACTCTCTATATCCCCATTCCCATATATCCCCACTCTCTATGTCCCCACTCCCTATATCCCCACTCCCATATATCCCCACTCTCTATCTCCCCACTCCCTATCTCTCCACTCTCTACATCCCCACTCCCTATCTCCCCACTCCCTACATCCCCGTATTTCCATATCCCCATATTCCTACAACCCCATTTCCCACATTTCCACATTTCCCCAACTGAACATCAACACATACCTCCCCACATCGCTAAATCCCACATCCCCATATTTATTCGACGAATGATACTTCCGCGAGCCAGATAATAATTTATGTAATTAGGAACGGTACATCGATGTCGTGTATTGAGGCTCTCGAGTTACAGGGACGTGCTACTGTACGACGAGAATGCGCTATTACCACTACTTACCTCATATTGCCGACATGCAAACGTGTAAGCCCTTGTCTGGCGTGTACGGCAACGTTAATGCAATTGCGAAGATAACGTAATTAACACGTCCGAATTTATACACTCTCTTCGGTAAGAGCAACTGTATCCGGGATGTATATATATTCGGGCGCTTAGTCTACCCCTAATTTAGGATATGACATTATGTCATGCACCTCGATACACTTTACCATCTTCTTATTTTCGTATACGCACTTTCGATCAGTATATGATTTCATTTTGACAAAATATCTTAGAAATGTTAACTAACCTAGCCTAACAAGTTTGCCAAAACCTAACCTAATAAGTTATCCAAATCTAACCTAATAAGTTATCCAAACCTAACCTAACAGCTGCCTAATAACTTAAAACCTAACCTAACCTAAGATCCTCCCGTGTGGCGATTTCGTCCGAAGATATAATTCGGCAATATAACAAGAGGTTATTGGAATCACTGTCTCCGCGACTTAATTTCTCACCACATTTTTATACCGAATCCAATTAATCACAAAGCTCATTAAAAAGTTCCAAATTACCCAGGGCAGGCAAACTTAGCGCGTACCATGCATTTTGTCTGAGTTAGTAGAATTCGCAGACCAGTGTCTCACAAGGGAATTCGGATCGATAGATTCCAGCAACCGCGGTATGCTGCGGTGTTTAATTGATACTCCGTAATATTAAAATCGTAACTTCAAACGGGTCAAGTCCTTTGTACCATAATCAAATACCATAACATCCAATCTTGTACAAATTCAGCAGATCTGATGGAAAAATCGATGAGGTAAGAATGATTGTTTCGACATGGATGCTGATGATATTCACAGAAACGTCATTTGCGAATAGAATAATAATCCTGACAGGTGGGAGGGGCTGCTCTAGGAGTCATTAACTCGAATTAATTAATGGCTACGGACACAATCAAGGACAGCGACCATTTTGGATTTGGCTACCGTAATGAACTTCAATTTGTGGCTGCTTGTTATCCGCGATATTGGGATTTGCTAATTTATATAGAACCGTATTTCCATCGATCCTACTCTTAAAATGGTGGACTAATACCGAATTAACTTGGACTCGCACCTACACGAGTTTAGACAAGTCCTTGACTCTTTTAGAGAGATTTGTTTCTTTTATACAACCAATTATTTATTATACAAGCCATTTGATCTCTTGTTAACTTTAACATTTGTTACTTAAAAATTATTGACCTTCATATGTCCTTCATGTTCATTCATAAACAGTCTGACAATATTAAATCAATTCCCCTTTGAAACAGAACAAGCTTCAGCCATTTTATTAATAAGGTAAATATTATAAACGAGGACAAGTATAGTTAAAAATAGACCACCTTGTATATACACAAACTTCTATTATAACTTACTTGAATTTCCACTAAAAAAAAATAATATTCACTTAATGTATATACGTCAATATACATAAAGCACGAGTTCGCGCGTTTGAATTTCCCGCGCGCTCCTATAAAAATGGCGGCCCTCACTCGGTCCGAGTACCGCTGTATTTAAACTTGATTTTAATTCATTTAAAGACACACTAAGTGAAAAAAACGAAGATATACTCATACACAGCTGTTCCTATATTAATATATATTTATTTATACTTATATGCATTTATTTTAATTAAAATTGATAATATACAAGGTAACATGAGTTGCTCTAACCGATGCAGACTTCAGGATAATCATTTAATACGATCTGCTAATTATTGAAATCTACATGCGCGTGTCAGAAGTCGAAACAATGAGCAGACCACGATAATATAGATACACGGAAAGGATTGTCATGTCCGTGGCTGACATTCATCCTACAGATAACCAGTTTCCGCCGCGGGCGCTTCCTGCGACTCGAATGATGCATAACCGCCTCGAAATGGGGCCTTCATGAAATCACGCGAAACATATGCTGACTTTGGCAATATTGGACTTTCGGGGTCCTTTCTAGAAATTCTGAGATTCCTTAAAATTTTTTAAAATTCAAATTTTTGAGTTTGGATAATTTTGGTAATTTTCATAATTTGGGAATTTTAGGTTCCAAGACTTCTCTTCATATCGATTGCATCCTCAATCTCCCTCGTTAAAGACCTTTACCTACCCAAAAACACTCAAGCGGCCATATAACGAGACTCCACCGTATTTCGCAACGAAGCAACGTTACGAGGACAAAAATGAATACAAAATGTTATGAAATACGAAGATGCAAACTTCTCTCCAATTCATAAAAATCAGGTGAATTCTCCGTACGAGCCGTACATCAACACTTCCCAAGTTAGCCAAACCGGCAAAAGTCTGGCTTCCAAAAGAATCTGAAATTCCGTGATCAAAAAGTGTCGGACTCGTCGTAGAAACGTCCGCGATAAGATTCA